AATGGCTCTTTAAATCAGAAGAAATGCTCTCCACGACATGTAAGCAAACATAACTTTGGAAAGCCAGTCGGTTTTCATGGCAACCAGATAAATATCACTTTAATTACTTGCTGCACTAAACTTTGCAATAAACACCTTGAACATAATTAACTATAAACCTGGATGTCAACACAATCTCAAAGTATGCTTTTAAAGGGGTCATATGATGCTGCTAAAAAGAACATTATTTTGTGTATTTCTTAACTTTTATAAAGAATATCTCTTTGGATTTGAGACTTTAGTCTTTGCAACTTTACAGATCTTTTTTATGCACCAAGAGCTTGTAACACTCTAAAGAGAAAGGAAAAAATGACCCCTTTAAGTAAATCAAGGAGTGAATTACACACCCACTGCTTTAAAACAGACGTCTGTTGGGCATGATTCAAGTTGAACGCACAATGGTAGGCACACAGACACTTTCTAATAAGTAAATCTTACTGAAAATAGACGATTAAGCGGTTTGTATTGTACAATTTGTGTTTACGTTTGTCAAGTCAAGCGTGGTATCAGCATCTTCATCAGATTCTGATCATCAGTATCTTTTTTTTTTGTTTTGTTTTTTTTGCTTTGGTTAGGTTAGGTTAGGTCCAGACTCTTCTTCAATTGGTGTAGCAAATGCGAATTCGTCATGTGGCAACTTCTTCTGCAAATGAGATTGATAGAATAAATTTGACATGATTTATTAATTTACTTACAAAATAACAATTAACAATGTTTTAACATAGCTACATTATACATATATTTACTTTTTTATTCTTTGCCAAGAACAGTGCCTTAACATACTGTCACATCCTGTTTGCAACCATCCTCCAGTTTACCTCACTTTTTTTTCTGTCTAGTCTTCTGTCTTTCTATGAAACTTTTTGGAATCCACACATTCACTCAGCTAACAACAAATGACCTGAAAAATCCATGTTACCAATGATGGAAGGTCACACTATACCTTCATTTAAGGGTGGGACGATTCACATCTCAAGTGAGGTCATTGACTCCCTTTCACTTCTTGACATTGTGTGGTCCAATAAGTTTGAGAATGAGAACATTGACCCAGATGATGCCAAGCAAAATGAAGCAAATTTTCTCAAAGGAGCTCCACCACAGTGGCTGAATTTCTATTGGTCAGAGAAAGAAGACACTCCATTTGTCACTAGGGATGGCTACAATGATTTGATTCAGCTAGTCAAGAAAAACAAAAGGAAAATATGGAGTATCATTGATATGCACTTGCTTTACCAGCCAGGAAGTGGAGGGTCAACCCTCGCAATGCAGGTTCTTTGGAAATTCCGAAAGGAACTCAGATGTGCCAGAGTGACAAACTCTACCCTGGACATTACAGAGCTTTCAAAGCAAGTGGTCAAGCTTTTTCTGGTGGGAGATGATCATGATCAGAATACTGTGCTGCTTTCTTTGGACATCAAGGAAATGATAAATGAATATCAGCCATTTAAAAGAATTCTACAGGAGAGTCTGATCAAGGAAATAAATGGGCAGAACATCAAAGCAAACATTCCTGTTGTGATCATTTTAAACTGCAGCATAATGGACTTTACAAGAACAGATACATTGAGTCTTGAAGCAAGCTTGTCAGAAGATGAAGAACGACGATTAAGGGAAAAACACGATGGAGTTACTAAGTTACACAAGGAACATAAACAATTCAGGGGCTTCAACAGAATGCTTGAAAATTTTAGCGTGCCACATGATCGGTCAGTGCTAAAACGTGTTGAAACCTTCACACACTCCCCACAAATTTGTATGATCTCAACATCAAATGGTGCCGAAATCCAAATAAAAAATTATTCAATTTTCTCCAAATCCTGCCTTGACATACTATGGGCAAACATGTATGAAAATGTGTCATTGGATCATCTGTCTGCTGAGGAGGTGCAGGCTGAGTTTCTTAAAGGAGGCCGGCCACAATGGAGGGACTTTTACTGCTCAGAACAAGAAGGCACCTTGTTTGTCAAAAGAGACCTCTATGACTCCTTGATCCAGCAGATTAATGTGCAGAAAAAGAGCCAATGGAATGTGACAACCATTAATCTGTTTCACCACCCAGGTAGTGGAGGATCAACACTAGCCATGCAGGTGCTGTGGGACTTGAGGAAGCAGCTCAGATGTGCCAAACTGAAATACAAATCATCCGACATGAACATCAGAGACGACATTATCAAACTATTCAAAGAGGGAGGGGAGAAGAATCAAAACACTGTGCTCCTCTTGCTGGATGTATGGGATGAAGGAAACAGGACATTGAACCGTTTGCATAATGAGCTCGATAAGAGAATTGCTGGAGATAACATTCCTATGCTCATCATCATGAATGTAGCAAGCAAGACAACAATTCCCAAAAGCACCAGTGTGAAACTCAAAATGGAACTTTTACCTGATGAAAAAACCATGTTTGAGGAACACAAGCCAGTGATCAAGGACAAGCATGGAGAGGATTCTGAGAGCTTTCATGGCTATAACATAATGCACGGAAACTTCAGAAAGGATTTTGTTAAAAATCTCATCAGTAAGGACCTGGAACATTATGTCCAAGTCAACAAGGCTTCTGCAAACACAAAACTCTTCTCATATTTAGCCCTGCTAAATTCATATATTCCAAGCTCCCACTTGCATGAAATATTGTGTCAGGAATTCTTTGCAAGTCAACATTCTGATGCAAGGGAGTCATTCGAACAGATAATGACTCCATTCATGGATCTTTTGGTGACATACAAAGCAGAGCACTGTGAGGACAGATGTGTCCGTATTGTTCATCCTATGATTGCTGATGCTTGTATCCAAATGCTGTTTACCTGCGGTATGCCAAGAGGTGAAATAGCACACAAATTTTTGTATTTTATTGTGAAAGCATTAAACAAGCAAATTGACTTTTTACACATTTGCAAACACATTCTGATCACAAGACAAGAACATGACAAGTTTTCAAAACTCATTCTTGACATCATGGAAGAAGACCTCAAAACAAACTCAGCAAACTGCATATCTGTGCTGAAATCTGCCTCAAATCTGTATTATAAAGATGCCTTCTATCCTCAGGCTCTTGCACGGTTCTATTATATCAAACTGGGAGACTACAAAAAGGCTGAAGAGTTTGCAAAAAGTGCCATTCAAAGAGATCCAAAGAATTCTTTTATTAGAGACACGCTAGGACAAGTTTACAAAAACAGACTGAGAAAAACAGTCAAGGATAAAGCATCTCCAAATTATGCTCGTAGAGTTTTGGAGCATGCAGTTTCTGCTACTAAAGCATTCAAAGAGGAGACAAAAACAGCTGAAGATGAGCAGGAATCAGACATTAGAGACAGCAATACTCCTTACACCTTTAATATCAGGGGCATATTTGGATATATCCAAGTCATCAAGATTCTTTTTGATGCTCTCACACAGCACAGTTCACAGTGGGCAGAATTTCTGAGAGGGAAAACATGTGTCAGGTCTCTTGGCTCTTCATTCAAAGACCAAAAACTAAAAAAATACAATGATTTTCTCAAAACTCAGAAAGATGAAATCAAGGAAAAATTCCATGTTTTTCAGTATTACCTGACATACTCAAAGCCGAGCATTGAAAAAGAGGAACCACCATACTTCCGTCGAGATGTTGATGATTGCTATGGAAAGTATGTGATTTCAGAGGGACAGGCTGCCCAAAGTGAACAGCGAATCCTTGAAGTGAAAAAGGCTGATACATTTCCAGGGTTGCTGAATCTCTTAGACCAAGACACCCATGAGACCGAGTTAGAAGAGATCCTCAGCCACAGTCTAATCAATGCTGATTTTGACCAAAATTACATCCTCGCCAACATCATTTTGTGCAACAAGTCACCCACATCTCAGTCCCTCAAGCCAAAGCAAGATCTTCAGTACAGATTATGGAGATACTGGCTGGCAGAAAAGAAGAGAAGAAGTCCAGAGTTTTATCTGTTGATCCTTTTGTTGTTTTGGCCTGATGGGGATCAACAGATTCAAGGGACGCCAAACTGGCCAAGCCTTACAGAGTGTGTAACATATATGCATCAAGCCTTTGAGAGGACCTACAGAAAGCACCTTCGCTCACGCTATCTGGTGCCTCTCTTTTTCCTTGGGAAAGGTGAAAATTTACAGAGACTGGTACACAAATCAAAAGTAGACCAACATCAAATGGATGTTCTAACCAAAGGGGATGAGAAAGCTGAAATCCAGGGTTTTCAACGTGTCCAAGGGGAGGTTAGAGACCACAAAGTGTTTGCTCTGAGAGGAGCTAACCAGATTGAAGTAACCCCTCACCAACCAGCCAGTGTGCGCCGTCAAGGCCTTGTTTCATTCTGCCTTGGCTTTAACATTAGAGGCCCTGTAGCCTACAACATCAGACGTGAGTAATAATTCTATCATTTGATCATTTTCATTATTAGTATAAAGTAATCATATCACAAATAAATGAAACATAAAATCCCAATGTGTTTTTTTTCTTTCTTTTTTTTTCATTATTTGTAGTACACATTGTAATACATTTGATTGAATTTCCATTTATGTTTTATGAACACTGGAAATAGCATGAATGACAAATTGTTTAACTCCTTTATCTGCATCGACTTTGCATTTAATCAGTGATCACTATTCCCGGGACATACTGGGGCTCCAACAAGGAACATTTTCTATTTTTTAGGCAGCTTTGTTTTTTTTTTTTTTACCCATTTAATTTTTTTTATCTGTTATCTTGTCCAGCCTCACACAGACAATGTCAAACCTGTGCCAGTGTCAGGGTAAGTGAAGAGCAGTTAAGCTGGAACTTAATTGAACAAATTTTATATTATTATTTTTATTATTATTATTATTATATTTCATTAATTTAGAAAATAAATGCTTGTTAAATTGTAATTTCTGAAATATAGTTGATCTTGAATCCTAACATATTGTTTCAGGATTCAACTGAATGGGACCTGATTGAACCCTCTGTGATCTCAGAAGATGCACAGAACCAGAAGTACAGGTGCCATACCTGCTGTGTCTTTTCATTTCTTTATATATATACTGTATATATATATATATATACTGCTGTTCAAAAGTTTTTTTTCTTCAGTAGGCTATTTTAATAAGGAAAAATTAAAAGATAAAAAATTAGGAATTAGGGAGAATTGTGTGAATAATATTGTAGCGTCTGGACCAATCAAACACACAATATATATTTCGTTAGCTATATTTAACAAATACTCTGTAACACCCCTCAGTTAACAAGCCATATGAGGACCTATGGACCCTTCCCCCGAGATGCGTAACACCCCAGGAAGCCGAACAGGCCCCTGGTTCCATGGCAACCAACGCTGATATCACCGGGTTTATTGTCTAGAGGAATGCGAAGCAGGGAAAATCACTGCATGTTCCATAGCAAGAGGCACAATGCACAGTAGAAATGGACTTTTCTACTAATTAATTAATAGGAAAACCTTTCTTTGAATGAACAATGTATCCTTCAGGTCATGGTGTATGTTGTCTTTGATATTTTTAGACTATACTATGCATGCTTATGATGGAACCCATTCCTGTTATCTTGCCTATATGTAATCCTACCATGTTTAGTATCTATGAATTAGTATTCGGATGATCTAATTGAGAGTGTATATTGTATGTTTATACCTACGCAACATATTAGTGTTCTAAGAGTCTTTAGTAATTTTGATCCAAGTTTCATATGCAAATTACCACGCTTTCAAACAAAGGGTCATAAAAACTCCCCAGTATCTCAAAACTCCCACTTGGGACGTCAGCCTTTCTCATTGGACAAGCCCATCTTGAGAGGCGGGAATCTTCTCCGACCTTAAAGGCCCACACCAGGGACCCTCCCCAGTCGGTGGTTCTGTTAGGTTTCGATAAGATGTGAGCTCCAACGCTCCAGAACATCCTAAGTTACGTGCCAGGCTTCGGCCTCGACCTTTCCATTAATCAAGATTCTCTGACTCAAAACTGGTTCTTTTCATCGACCCAAATTCAGCAAAGATCAACTGGAAACTTCAGATTACATCAAACCTCTCTTTCAGACAGATGAGACATGCAAGTATCAAACTTAGCCTTATTAATTGATACATGAGGTATCATTTGCACCTTTTTACAAAGATGTGTTTGAACTAAGAAT